CGGCGGGAGCCGGAGTCCCGGCACCCGGGTTAGGGCTGGGCCCGCGCCCATGGCGAGCGCGGCCTGCCCGGGGCCCGGGGACCCTGCCATGTGAAGCGGGTCCGGGCTGGGGGCCCGGCCATGGCTGGGGAGCGGCCCCCACTGCGGGGCCCCGGGCCCGGAGAGGCGCCGGGGGAGGGGCCGGGGGGCGCAGGCGGAGGCCCGGGTCGGGGCCGCCCCTCCTCCTACCGGGCCCTCCGCAGCGCTGTGTCCAGCCTGGCACGGGTGGACGATTTCGACTGCGCGGAGAAGATTGGGGCCGGCTTCTTCTCTGAGGTCTACAAGGTAGGACCCGTGGAAGGAGAGAGGGGCGGGACCAAGCCTGCCAACGGAGGCTCGAACTTGGGGGCCCTCAGCCTGGGTTAGATCTCATATACTTGAGCAAGCCACCCAACCTGTCGGGCACACTCCGGCCCTTGCCGCCACCAGGTTCGGCACCGACAGTCGGGGCAAGTCATGGTGCTGAAGATGAACAAGCTCCCCAGTAACCGGGGCAACACACTAAGGGAAGTGCAGCTGATGAACCGGCTCCGCCACCCAAACATCCTAAGGTGAGCTTAGCCTTTTGGCTGGGCGGCTTGCTGGGCATGAGGAAAAAGAGCCAGCGGGGGTTGGCGGTGGGGATGAGGAGCCCGGGCTCTTACAGGCTACCCTTCCATCTTCCCCATCGTCTTCCAGGTTCATGGGGGTCTGTGTGCACCAGGGGCAGCTACATGCTCTTACAGAGGTAAGCATAGGCCAAGAAAGTGGGAAAGCACCACACCTCCCAGGGGAGAGTCAGCCGACTTGGTGGATCTGCAGGGGGAGAAAGAAGAGCTCAGGACCTCCAACAGGAGACTTCCTGAACTAACCTTTGGGCAAACCACATACCAGAGGCCTCAGCTAGACTCAGTCCCTAGAACAGTGCTGCCCCATAGAACTTTCTGCGGTGATGGAGATGTTCTGTGTCTGTGGTCTGGTACAGTAGCACTAGCCGCACATGGCTAAGCTATTAAGTTAAATAGCTGTGCATAGCTAGCAGCTGCCATGCAGGATAGGGCACCCTAGAATACAGATGGGAATACAGGCTCACGCTTTTGATCTTTGTGACCTTAGTGTACCTGGTTTATGAGTGGGAGACGTGGAACACAAACTGAAGTCTCCACATCCATTCCCCTTCTATTTTCCATATATCCCAGTATATGAATGGGGGGACTCTGGAACAGCTGCTCAGCTCCCCAGAACCCCTATCGTGGCCAGTCAGGCTCCACCTGGCACTCGACATTGCCAGAGGCCTACGGTACCTACATGCCAAAGGTGTATTTCACCGAGACCTCACATCCAAGGTAGGCTGGTCCGGGTGGGTGGAGGCATGAAAGAGGGCTTGAGATGGTTAAGTTGTAACTGATCCATGGATGCTGGATATGGATAGTAAATTCATTAGGAAGTTGGAGTGACAAGGTGTTAAGAATGTTGAAGCACTGGGCTGATGGGAGTGCTCCAAGCAACTGAGTATCACACTGTTGAATGATGTTGCCATATTGGGGTGCATTGGAGAACTGGGAGGGGAGGTTGGGGTGACACTAGAATGACACAGGGGTATATACTGGAAGACCAGAAAGCAGGTGATAGATGTGTGAGGATGCCTGTATGTGTATATCAGAACTGTCTGGTCCGAAGGGAAGACCGAGGCTTCACAGCTGTAGTGGGTGACTTCGGGCTGGCTGAAAAGATTCCTGTGTATAGGTAAGGTGAATGCCCTTGTTACCCTCAAGCCTCCCAGAGGTCCCCAATCTGAGGGAAGCCCCAAGTGACATTTCCCTTGGGTGGGGAGGAGGCTCACCGCATCCCCTTTTGCCTGGGGAGAATGTCTGAATAAAAAGCTTCTGACCACCCTGTCCCTGCTTCTTCAGGGAAGGAGCAAGGAAAGAGCCACTGGCTGTGGTGGGTTCCCCATACTGGATGGCTCCAGAGGTGTTGCGTGGTGAGCTGTATGATGAGAAGGTAAGACATCAACCCTTCAGAGCCCCCAAAACCCCCAGAGACTTTTTAAGATAGTGCCCCATCCAACAACCAGATATTCAAGAGCCCCTGAATGCCACCCCCCGCCCCCAATGCACCTCACTGTCTCCTTCCAACACAAGATATCTATCAGTTCTTCCCCCATGATGCTGTCATCTCCTACCTCCAGGCTGATGTCTTTGCCTTTGGGATTGTCCTCTGTGAACTCATTGCCCGAGTACCTGCGGACCCCGACTACCTACCCCGTACTGAGGTGAACGTCTCTAGGTTTGAAATGGGAAGCTCCCACTGTAGGTGACTCAAACAAGGATTCCCTGGAGCTTGAGGTCCTCACAGTGGGGGGCAGGAGGAGAGCCCAAGGGAAGCTGACTTGGTGGCCTCTCCTCTGTGCCTACAGGACTTTGGCCTGGATGTGCCTGCTTTTCGAACGCTGGTAGGAGATGACTGCCCACTGCCTTTCCTGCTCCTGGCCATCCACTGCTGCAGTGTAAGAGCTTGACTCTCCTCCCAGCCCCTGGCCCCTATCCTGCCTTATGGGCTCCAGGTGATGATGAGAGGAAAACTCAGGGCCCCTCTTCCAGAGCCTTGAGTGAAGCTGCTCTGTTTTTATGCATCAGATGGAACCCAGCACCCGTGCCCCTTTCACTGAAATCACCCAGCACCTGGAACAGATCTTGGAGCAGCTACCTGAGCAAGCTCCACTCACCAAGACTCCCCTGACATACAATCAGGGTAAGTGCATGACCTTGACCCAACAGAAGTCCTGCCTCTCATCCTGAGAAGTCAGAGTTATCTGGCAGAGGCTGGGTGGATTGATTAGTTGAAAAGGCTGGGGTCAGGCAGGGTAGGATAGAGTAGGGTAAGATGGAAAGGCATCTCAAAAACGATAGTTTTCTATCACTAGAGCTTGTGAAAGCAAAGGTAAGAAAGTAAAAAGGTGACTGAGGTGACATTCCCACTTTCCAAAGCACCCTATGGAACTTCTTTTTCTTTGTGTGTTTGTTTGTTTGAGACAGGGTCTCCCTGTAGTTCTAGCTGGCCGGGTTATGTAGACAGGGCTGGCATCGATCTCACAGAGATCTGCCTGCTTCTGCCTCCTGAGTGTTGGTACTAAAGGCATGCACCACCACACCCAGCTGGGACTCCCTTTTCTGAGTTCTTGTCCCACCAGCCTCCTCATTGAGGGCCTCAGGATCTGTAAGCAAATGCTGAGAACAGTGATGACACCTCTCTCTACAGGGTCTGTTCCAAGAAGAGGTCCCTCTGCCACACTTCCCAGGCCAGACCCCCGGCTCTCCCGCAGCCGGTCAGACCTCTTCCTACCGCCTTCACCAGAATCACCCCCCAACTGGGGGGACAATCTGACACGAGTCAACCCCTTCTCACTACGGGAAGACCTGAGGGGTGGCAAGATCAAGCTTCTGGACACACCGTGCAAGCCTGTCACCCCTCTGCCCCTGGTACCACCATCACCACTGGCCTCTACCCAGCTGCCCTTGGTGACCACTCCAGAGACTCTGATCCAGCCTGGGACACCTGTCCGCCGCTGCCGCTCACTACCTTCATCCCCTGAGCTCCCCCGTCGTATGGAGACTGCACTGCCTGGTCCTGGCCCTTCTCCCATGGGCCCCTCGGCTGAAGAAAAGATGGAGTGTGAGGGCAGCAGCCCTGAACCAGATCCCCCAGGACCGGCTCTCCAGCTGCCTCTGGCTGTGGCCACTGACAACTTCATCAGTACTTGTTCCTCAGCTTCTCAACCCTGGTCCCCTAGATCAGGACCTCCCCTCAACAATAATCCCCCTGCTGTGGTGGTGAACTCCCCACAAGGCTGGGCTGGGGAGCCCTGGAACCGGGCACAACATAGCCTTCCCCGGGCAGCAGCCCTGGAGCGGACAGAACCCTCGCCACCACCATCAGCTCCCCGGGAGCCTGAGGAGGGGCTGCCTTGCCCCGGCTGCTGCCTTGGCCCCTTCAGCTTTGGCTTCCTGTCCATGTGCCCCCGCCCCACCCCAGCTGTTGCCCGCTACCGCAATCTGAACTGTGAAGCGGGCAGTCTTCTCTGCCACCGAGGGCACCACGCCAAGCCACCCACACCCAGCCTGCAGCTGCCTGGGGCACGCTCTTAGCAGTGGAGCCTGTAATATCAGGCTTCCAACTTTGGCCTTCAGGATACCCTGTAAGGACAGAGCGCACTTGCTGGACAATGCCAGCCCGAGATGGGCTGACTGGTTCTTCTCCCCGTTAGGGGAGCCTCAGCATGGACTCGAGGGACAGAGCACTTCCTATCCCCCAGGGATCGCCCCTGGGCTCACCCTCCCATGGGGATCACCGAACCAGACACAGCATTGCTGACACACAAGACTAACACGTGCAAATTATTTAAAAAATATTTCAATAAAACTGCCTGGCTGGCTCCGGGCCATCCATCCACTCAGCGGTGCGCCCTCCTCCCCACACCCATCTCCAGTCTGGGAAGTTCTTAGGAAGGCCAAAGCCCTTTCTGGAGGCTTCTTCACTCTCTTCCCAGGAACAGTCCAATTTCTGGGACAGGGTCTCAGGCAGGCTGTTGAGAAGTGTCAGATGGGAATCAACCCTTGGCTAGGCGTGCCCAAAATGAGGACATGCAACCTTTTTTTTTTTCTTTTTGGTCTTTTAAGACAGGGTCTCCCTGGAGCCCCAGCTGTCCTGGAACTCGCTCTGTAGACCAGGCTGGCCTTGAACTCACAGAGATCCGCCTGCCTCTGCCTCTCAAGTGCTGGGATTAAAGGCGTGCACCACCACGCCTGGCTGGGAATAGCAATCTTAACCTGCAGGCCACATGTTAGGATCCAAGTCACAAACTCTCCTTGGCATGAATGTCTGGAAGTGTAAAACATCAAATGAGCTCCAGGTGACTCTCTAACCCTCATCCAGATCACCCTATCTTCCCCAGCTCCCTGAACAGCCACCTCACCAGCCTGCCTTCTGTTCTAGACTGTTATCTCCCCCCTCTCCCTACCCGGTCTGCCCTTACATAAGCATACCAGGGCACTGGGGGCCAGGTGCAGCTGTCAAATGCAGAAACAAGATTTCCTTGGGCCCCTGTCCCAAGTCCCTCTGTCTGTAGACACACACCCATGCCTGATCTCCATCCTTTACACTTACCCAGCAAAGAATAGTCCCCATCTGGAAATGTGAAAACTTCCAACTCACAGATGCAGGGGTAAGACTCTGTACACTTTGATTGCGATTTTTTCCACAACCAGCCGTTTATCCTGGTACATGATTTTGAGCTTTGAGAAAGATGTAAGAGTGGTAAGTAGAATTGGGTTACACTCTAGGCCCCTCCTAGAACATCCTTTCTCTTCCCTTGCTCTGTATAAAACCTAGTTCAAGTCCTAATTTATGCTGCCTGTAAAAGACTAGATCTGGCCATGGTTCAGGGACAGATTTCTGGACTCCAACTCAGTGGCCTTAACCCCCAAGGTCTTAAAGATGAAAACTTCAGAGAATGTGAGTCACCCTATTTCAGGGTCCTTAGTGTTAATCCTAGCTAAATCCTCAGCCCTCTGTTAAATGACATAAATCACAACTTAGTAATTATTTGTTTTTATAGGGCAGTTTCGTTTTTTGAGACAAGGTCTGGCTTTGCAGCCCGGGCTGTCCTTGAACTCATAATCTTCTTGCCTTGGCATCCCAAGTACTGGCATTTATAAACATGTGCCACTGTACCCAGCTTGTAATTACTTCTTAAATATATGCTAGGGCCCTCTGGTCCCGGAGATAGAATAGAAAATAAGAATGCCCTAAGAATAGGGCAGTTTCGTTTTTTGAGACAAGGTCTGGCTTTGCAGCCCGGGCTGTCCTTGAACTCATAATCTTCTTGCCTTGGCATCCCAAGTACTGGCATTTATAAACATGTGCCACTGTACCCAGCTTGTAATTACTTCTTAAATATATGCTAGGGCCCTCTGGTCCCGGAGATAGAATAGAAAATAAGAATGCCCTAAGAGTAGTTCATTAAACAGAAGGAACAAAAAAAAAAAAAAAGGAAATTACAGTATTGATTTATGAGAGAGAGTTTGTGGACTAGATCTTGGGGAAACAAATTATCATGCCTTTATGAGAGTACGATGGGGTTAAAAATACCTCAGTCCTCACAAACTTACCGAGTATGTTGTGAGCTATGGCTGTCCTGTTGGCCAATCCAATATGAATCTGAACCACTATATACCAACTCTCTTAAGCTGCTCAACAAATGCTGCTGGGAAGACTTCAAAGACACAGATATGTGGAGAGTGATGAGAATATGGAAGAAAATGGACACCCTAGGATAAGGGTTACAGGTTTTGGCAAGAGGGCTGTGTCCATTTAGGTACTTGACAGCTCTTCCAAGACTTGTCCCTGTACCCTTCAAGTGCCACCCTGCAGATACAGCTTACCCTTTATTTCACCTGCAAGCTGGGTAAGAATTTTTACCATCTCTTGGACAGAAGTCATCCTGTGCACTTCTTATACCAAGGAATCAATCCCTACAATTCAGTGCCAGGGGTCTGGTACCTCTCTGCCTGAGGGACCACAAGCATCAAAGAGCTGCAGCCAGGGAGCTGACCAGCAAGCTAAGACACAGGTTAAAGAAGAGATGGCTCAGAAATTTCTGCTCTCATACCAACTCTAAGCACAAGGCTGGGAAATTGCAGAGGCTGTTGCCAAGCTTAGTAGCAAACAGTGTTGTGATTATCAGTATCTTCCTTAGGAAAGGAAAGCAAGCCATGACACACATCCAGGTGTGCACTGCCATTCCTAACTCCTGATGATGTACATCCCTTTACATACAATACCCACTTCAGAATATGGATAAGGGTATACTTACTGAATAAGTGTATGAAGGAAATTCACTTGGGGTGGCCAGTTTGGAAGACAGAGATGTACAATGTTCTTGACTCTCCTCCCAAGTTTTTCGAGTAGGTGAGACGTAAAGACAGTTTTTCTCATACAGTATCCATCCCAGTGGACAGCAGGTGTCTACAAAGCAGAAAGAATATGACAACACTTGGGATTAAAGTGACTGATCAGGGGGCTGGAGAGATGGCTCAGTGGTTAAGAACACCAGTTGTTCTTGCAGAAGACCTGGGTTCGAATCCCAGCACCCACATGGCAGCTAATAACTGTCTGTAACTCCAGTCCCAAGGGATCCAACAGCCTCTTTTGACCTCCACAGACATTGCATGACACGGGTGCACTTACCTACATGCAGGCAATACACACATACACATAAAATAAAAATAATAAATAGAATTTTAAAAAGTTTAAAGTGACTGATAGATCAGTCAGCTCGTTGTTAACAATATTCCTTTAGGTCTAATCTCAATGTCTTCATTGACTTATAGTCCTTGATCTTTGCAATCTTTCATTTATATATATTTATTATTTTTATTTTATGTGTATGAGTGTATTGCCTGCATGTATGTAAGTGCACCCATATCATGCAATGCCTGAGGAGGTCAGAAGAGGGCGTCAGTACCCCTGGAACTGGAGTTATGGATGATTGTTAGCCACCATGTGGATGCTCAGGCCTCTGCAAGAGCAGTCAGTGCTCTTAACCACTGAGTCATCTCTCCAGCCCCAATCTTTGCAACCTGCCTTTTGCCTCTTCTGGCAATGCCTTTATATACATGAGGCAAGTCTTACTTCTTAACAATATGGGAAGTTTATTTTAATAAAACCGGCGTCACTATTTCTGATTTCTGAAACATTGACACTGACACTTTAACCAGCCTTGCTGGGCTCACAAACTGGCCGGCCAATAAGCTTTTCGTTCATTCATTCATTCATTCATTCATTCCATTTGCTCCCTAACACATTCTCCACTGCACACTCAAAGCTTTGCCACACTCCCCAGACCTGGCAACATTTCTCTCCACAGCTCTATAAGTAGACAGCCTTGGATCCTGTTTGGCTGAAGTTATGAACACTGTCATTTCCCTCTTTCCACCTCAAAATGTCTGTCTCAGTTTTTCTTTTCCTGTTTATCCATAAGAAATTAACATTCTTCTTTAACACCTCATGCTACAATCTGTGCTCTTGATCCCAAACACCTTTCTCTATTACTTTGCTCTGTGAGTCCTATCTCTGCCACTCAAAAATCATTCCCTGTCCACTGGCTCCCTCTCTTATGTCTACATTTTCTCTTGTGTCCATTGAGCTATCCCCATTGAGCTGTACTATAATAATTTAAGGGAATTAAAAGAAATTGGTGAGAACCAACTTGAAGAGAATGAAGGACTAAAAAACATGCTGAAAGGTAGGCAGGGGCCTTAAAAAGCCAAGTTAAAGAGATTTTATGTTTGTTATTTGAGACAGGCTTTCCCTATGTAGCCTAAGCTGGCCTCAAATCCCTAATCCTCCTTCATTAGCCTCCCAGATGCTGAAGTTACAGAAATGTGCTACGATGCTTATCTTGGGATCTTTTTTCCAATCTTTTTTATTTTATGTGTATGAGTGTTTTGCCTGCATATGTAAGTGCACCCATGGGTACAATGCCCACGGAAACTAGAAGAGGGTGTCAGATCTGTAACAGAAATTATAGATGGTTGCTAGCCACCATGTGGGTACTGGGAACCAAACCCAGACCCTCTAGAAGAGTAGCCAGTGCTCTTAATCACTGAGTCATCTCTCCAGCCTCTGAATCTTTTTGTTTATATGGGAAAACCTGTTGGGTTAGGCAGTTACAATCAAAGTGGTCGTCTACAACCAACCTGTCACCAGAGGAGCACCATGGGATGCCAAGATCTAAAGTGTAGCTCTGAGAATGGGCAGCAGCACTGATATAGGTCTGAGAAATAAGGTTAAGGAGAGGGCTCAGTGGTTAAAGTCCTTACTAGTCCTTACTAGGACCTGAGTTCAGATCCCCAGCACCCATGTAAAAATCTGGGGATGGTACTCTAGATTACATCCGTAACTCCAGTTCCAGAATACTGATGCCTTCTTCTGGCCTCTGCAGGCATTGTACAACATGGGTGCACTTACATACATGCAGGCAATACACATACACATAAAATAATAAATAAATAATTTTTTTAAGAAATGAATGCACCCCCATTCAGGTTCCTCAAACCACAAGCCCATATGCTATGACGCACCACATTGTCAAAGTCACACATGGCTTAGAATGTCATTTGCCTTGCCTCACCTCCAGAATGCACCTTGTATCAGTAAGTCCTCACCTTTTGGGGGATCTCAGATGTAGTGAGAATTAAAACTGAGGCTCTAGTTTTTAGAAAACTATACAAGCAACCAACCTCACACACAAATTCAAAGGGTTCCAGATCCTTACCACTGATACTAGATGAAACCTGAGTTTGCCATGTTGCTATGGACAATGTGATTCAGATCGCTGGAAGTTACTTCCTTTCCCCTTCCCCCATGATCTGCATTAGAGCTGAGTGCCTCTCCCTAAACTCAGTGTGCATCTTGGGCCTTCTCCTCAATGACCAAGCTGTACAGCTCAGGTGAGCCGCTACTCAGGTCCACTGTCCCTTCCCTGAACAGCTCACTGGCCCCTGAGAGCTATACAGATCCAGCTACTGTCTCCTGGCTTCGGTCCACCCCTCACAGGCTATCTGTCCCATTTCCCTGATCCCGGGGCAGATACCTGATGAGCGGCACGAAAAGAAGCGTTTCAGTGTGTCCCGCATGGCAACCAGCCTCTGGTTCAAGGTCATCCTCTGGAGAGAGAGGCCCTGCTCTCTCTTCAAGCTCTCCTTGGTCTTTGTAACCTCAGACAGGCAGGCCTGTAGTTGCTGCTCGGTGGCTTCATGATTCCTTTGCTTCTCCTGCAGAGCTTCCTGACTCAGAATGAACTCTCTCCTGGACCTCTGCAAATCCTCCTCCTTCTGCCCCAGCTGAGTTGTCTTTTCACGGAGTTGCTGCCGCAAGCTGCTGTTAGTGGCTTCCAGAACCCTGGTCATCTGCTGGAGCTGCTGAGACACCTGAAGATCTGCATGGCCAGAAAAGAGACAGATTAGGTATCTGTGATACATACCTGTGATCCAGCACAGGGAAGCCTGGGACAAGAAGGACAGCAACTTCGAGGCCAGCCTGGGCTATATTTGGAGCCCCTTTAGGAGGTAGGGAAGCTTGAGGTCACGCCCTTCAGCTGTACCCAGCTGGTGCCCTAAGACTGCAGTTATCAACTTTTTCTACTTCTTGCAATTTTTGTATAACATGCTAAAGTTTAAGATCTGGCTACCTAAAGCTTAAGGAGATCCTGGACTAGGTAAGGGTGATTTAGGAAGGCAGGACACTCTAGGACCAATCTGACTGGAAACCAGACAAAAAAGCTAAGGATGTGGGGTCAGTGTCTATGAGCCTTCCTTAGGAAAGGCAACTTTGGGGGAGAGGGGGGAAGAAAGTGTTTGGGGCGAATGGGGAAAGGAGGTACTCATACTCACAGCGAACTCCCAGGCAGATGGCAGCCACCCCTGACATCAGGCAGGCTAGAAGAAGGCCAAGCAAGAAGTATTGCAAGCAGACTGTGGGACCTTAGAGAACAGAGATGAGGGGGAGTCAGTCCCAGGAAAGAATTTATAGACTGGGGTGGGGGTGAGGAGGGAGGCACTTGGGAAAGCATTTTTAAGAAGACTTTGTCCAGTTGGGGAGCAGGGTGTTGCAGAATAAGGACTGGGGATTTTAACTGGTGAAAAAGACTGAGGGACTTTACCCAGTAGAGGGAACTAAATATCAGACCGAGAGAGGGAACTGGGACTGAGGGCATGTGACCAAGGACTATCAGAATAGGGGTGTTGTGATCTGGATTAATTGGAGGTGAGACTTATCCCTCCTCTCTCCTGGGATGGGGCTGAGAGTGGCGGGGGGG